CAAAGAATCAAAAGAAATGCAACTTTACTTACCATTAGTGTATTTGAGGGTTAAAAACATCCCTATTGATACAAACAACAACTCTAGTTTCATGGTGGAGGAGTCACTCTTCACCGAAAGTGTGATGTAACAAAACACGTGGAGTTCATTAGTCAGGTACCCAGCTTCCAGGACCGATGTAGCAGAAGTGGAAGTTTGTCTAATTTATACGTATTTTATCAAAGGAGAAAAATCTGATTCATTGTGATAAATCTCAGTAAGGAAGAATGTTTTGTGGAACATAATTAATTTAATTTTTTAAAAAATATGTCTTATTCTACTAATGCTTAATATATCAAATTATATCAATGTCAACTTAAGTTACTGTATGTCATTTATAATCGTCATGGTAGTGTCATGAGCAAATCTAAAATGATGAATGTGTTAACTTTGGCCTCCGCTTGCTAACATGAAATGAATAATGCTATGTTTAGATGACAAATTATGTTAAAGTATATCGAATAACAACTACATATCGAATCTTTTAAGTCTACAGTGAAATATCACACACTTGAAAGATTATTTAACAACAGGTTTAACATAGTGCTGCACGTTTCTGACACTTCAATTGATGCATGATCCATTCCTGTCAAATGTATAATTTGCGGTTTTATAAGATTGTCAATGTATTTCCTCTTAAATAAATATCTTCATATACTATTAAGCATTCGAACCCTTTATTAAAAAATTCTGACTTTGTGGGGATTTTATGTGGTGACTCCGATTTAAGGAAATCCTTGATATATACTGTCTGCCACAGAAAAACAAAATCTCACACTGTGCTTTTTATGGTGACTCCAAATCAAGGAAATCCTTCATATGCGGTCTCCCACGGATAAATATCGCATACTAAACGTACTAAACAAACAAATCATCAATAAAAAAAGCAGCCAGCGGTCAGCTATTATGTTTTTGAATGTTACGTGTGTTTGAGTTCTTCCATTTTGATGACATCAGTTTATTATAAGTTGAATCAGGTCTTTTACATTCTCGTGTAATAGTTCATACAAAACGTAAATGTGTATTTAAAACCCCGAGTTATGCGTAATTGGCACCTCCAACAATATGCTGTAAAAGTGAAACACAGCGATTTAATTTTATGCAATTCATCGACTTACCGAAAAGTTATAAATTTACGTCAGAGAAGGGACTCCGTACAAAGGCATACAACATTTTTAATTTCTTGCTAAACTATCTGAACGATGAGATTATCGAATTTACAGAAATTTATATGTCTATGCCGCATTTATTTGATATTAATATGTGAAATGATATGTTGTTACATGTATGTATAATACACTATATTGAATGTGGTATTCTTTCAACCAATTAATTATCCTCATTTTAAAGTTTCGACATCACTGACACTAGAATTTTTATTTTTAATTAGAATTTTCAAAAATTCTTTATATACTTCCAAATAACCAGAACCATGGTCATAGCAAGAATAATGTTAATAATTACACAAATACCATGATGGTTCTTCTTTTCCCTCTTCGTCTTATTATCGTCATCTCCTTATCATCATGACATTATGTCAGCTATCGCCAAATTGCCATCGCCATCGCAATCGCCATCGTCTGTTTCTTTTTTCCCCTTGTTTTTGTTTCTAGTTATCACTACACACGTTTTTGGTTTTACTATGTTGTTCATTTAATAGTTGTCACGTTTCTTATGCTTGCTGTTGTGTCTACGTACAAGTATATTTTATAAAAAAGAATGTATTCTTTCTTTCCACGCCGATTATTTCAATAATGTCATAAAGTGTGTGTGTGTGTGTGTGTGTGTGTGTGTGTATGTACAATGCAGACCATTTACATCAATATCATCACCGTAAAGGAGGAGGAGAGGATTTGTAACGACAAAAAATAATCCTTTACATAAATGCGTGAATGAGTCACCAGCCGTTAGGTTGCTGGTGATAATCTGTAAGGAGCTTCTGAGAAATATATTAACTTATGTTAATTAAATGATTACAAATATACATTATAAAAACAGATTCAGAGAGAAGCTTGATCATTTTGGAAAGAAGGAGTATGCGCACTGATTACTTTGTGCCGTTGTTAGCCATATGCAAGAAGTAAAATAAGATGTGGGGTTTCTTGGATGTTTAATTAGCCAAAACTTCAGTGTCTAATAATATATAGTACATAATATAAACAGAAAAAATACAAAGAGCTTAATTTCAATAGGAGCTACATATTTACAAATAAGTATGGAATATTAGAGCAGTACAAATCTCAAGCATATGCAAGAAAGCATGGGGAAATAAAAGAAGGAAAGCGACAAGAAAGGGATATAGTAATGTGCATGAAAGTACTAGAAGCAAATGGAATATTACTAAAAGAAAAAAAGTAATGAATGTGTGAATGCGGTACACATGTACAGCAATAAATAATATACTCAACAACACATAGAACAAGAGAGTATTGAAAAATATTGCTGCAATATCGAATTTCATACAAATTATAAAAGACTATATGAGCACATGTGAAAACAATGGCTAAATACAACGAAATGAAAATGTCAATTTAACATTTACCGAAAGACAAATCACCAGGTATGGATGGCCTCACATCAGACTTCTATTTAATTCTAGGTATTTCTTACACTAGAATAGAAGTACAACAATATATCAATGCAAACCAAATTATAAATACAATGCTTGTAGTCGTAACAGCAATTATGTATAAAGGAAAAGGTGACGAGAAACAATTGGCGACCTTTGAAAACATATTACAAAATATTATTTAAGATTTTGACAATTAGAATTAAAGATTGTATGAATAGAATGCTAAATATATGCCAAAGCTTCGAAGAGGAAAGAAGAAACATACTGAATAACACCCTAGCTATATAAAGTGTAAAAGACATCTGGAAATAAAGGGGAAATGGTCAACAATTTTATAAGACCAAGAGAAAGTACCTGACATGGTTACATCGATACATAGTACCATTCTATGGTATTGAAAACAAAAATCGTAATTGGGTAAAGATATTACTTAGCATTATAAATTTATGTGTACATATAAATGGAGGGAAAAAAACAAATAAATTTAGCACTGAACCATCAGAAAGACAGCTTTGCTCTGTCTCAATGCTACTATATGGAATAGTTATAGAAATAGAAAGTACAAATTACAAATAACTAAAAATATAAAAGTAATTAAAATACCAAAACCTTTAAAAGAACTAAAGATTGCGCAGCTTGCAGATGATTGTACCAACTTTATCAAATGTCTAAACCTGTATCCATAGGAAAATAAATTTACGGATTTTGGAAACGTTTCTGGATCTAAAATATGTTATGCAAAAAGTGAAATTCTGATTATAGGGAGCTGGAGTTGGAACTACCCTGGACAACCCACTAAACTAATTAAAACAAGTTAAAGCCCTAGGAATAACACATGGAAAAATTGTATAACTTGAAAATTGAAAATGTTACAGACAATGCAAGACTAAATTTAAAACTATGGTTAGGATTTAATCAATACAGGATAAGTCGCTCAGACTTAAATATACATCAAAGTATGGTATGTAATACACATGATAGACTTTAATAAATACAGGATAAGTCGCTCAGACTTTAATATATAGCAAAGTATGGTATGTACTACACGTGATAGACTTTGATCAATACAGGATAAGTCGCTCAGACTTAAATATACCGCAAAGTATGGTATTTAATACACATGATAAACTTTAATCAATACAGGATACGTCGCTCAGACTTAAATATACAGCAAAGTATGGTATGTACTACACATGATAGACTTTAATTATGATTTTCTAAATACAATAAATGGAGACATTATTACTTTCATATGGAGAGGAAAATTGCATCTTTACCAAAGAATTATCTACGTATGAAAAAATAGAGGAAGGAATAAATTTACGAAATCTTTATACGAAGGCAAAATGTATTATTCTAAATATTTTAATAAATATTTACACCAGTAAAACAATATGCATGGGCTGCAATTCTTGGGTATAATAAATTTACGAACTTATTAGAACCGCCAATTCGAAATAGTAAATATTTAAAATATAATTTTCAAATATAGGGATCAAGACAAAGTATGGAAGGAAGGGAGTTTGAAACCTTTGCGTGACATTTAATTAAGTAACTAAACAAAACTTAATATTTGAAGACAGATTACAGAAATAAGGGTGTAATCTGGAATATAGTAAAAAAACATTAGGCAAAAAAACCCCAATTAAAATCACGAAAAAAAAGTTTATAAAAATAATTATTTGTGTGAAATCGTTTCTAAATATTTGAGGTCTCCATACTTTCAGCTACGTGTCACCACGACGCTGAAAAATGGAAATACTAATGGAGGAATACAGTTAGCAGTCATATAACACACTAACACAAACAGACGATACCTCGCAGACACTAACAAAAACAGACGATACCTCGCAGACACTAACACAAACAGACGATACATCGCAGACACTAACACAAACAGACGATACTTCGCAGACACTAACACAAACAGACGATACCTCGCAGACAATAATACAAACAGACGATACCTCGCAGACACTAACACAAACAGACGATACTTCGCAGACACTTAGACAAACAGACCATACCTCGCACACGCTAACATAAACAGACGATATCTCGCAGACACTAATACAACGTAGATTAAACAATATTCCAGGGTCAAAATGGATGCTACACAGGGGCAGGGAGTTAAACTCAGCGAAGTAGGATATCATTACGGTGTGATGCTATTTTTACTGGCTCATGCGAAGTAGTACGGGTCACGCAAAAATGTCTAAAAGAGTTGATTATAATGAAATCAACACAACCAAACATACCATTGTGTGTGTGTGTGTGTATTTTGGGATTTTTAACGTAGTTTTAACAATTTTCCAGTCATATCGCTACGATGTATTGTGGCAATTTATAGTGATGTCTAGTATTGGGGCATCATACCACAAAACAAGCGGACCTCTCCGGTGGCCTAGTGTTTAGAGCGTCCGCCTCAGATGCGGGAGGTCGTGGTCTCGAACTCTAGTTGAGTCATATCAAAGACTTTAAAAATGGTACTAACAGCTGCCTCGCTTATCGCTCAGCAATAAGAGTTTTGTGTTAGGACTGGTCGGCCTGGTGTCAGTATAATGTGACTGGATGGGACATCATGCTACATGTCTGCGGCATGATGCCCCTATGCTAGACATCACTATAAACTGTCACAATGTAGACATTGTTGTCATCTGACTGAAAAATTGTTAAAGCTACGTTAAAAGTCTAAATCACACACACACACACACACACACACACAGACAAAACAACAACAACAACAAACAGCATGATGTCCCACACAGTCACATTATTCTGATACCAGGCCGACCAGTCCTAATACTAACCTCTTAATGATGAGCGTCAAGCGAGGCAGTTGCTTGTACCATTTTTATAGTGGTATGGTATGACTCGGCCTTGGCTCGAACCGACGGTCTCCTTCATTGGGACGCTCTAGCCACTCAGACCACCGGATCGATTTCAAACAGACCAAAATAAACACAAGTACATATACTAATATCTTCGAGATTATCAAAGAAAACGAACAGCAAACAAACAGATGGTACAGCTGTACCTTTATTTATTCCTTCCATTGAATAACAAAATACAATGCTCAAGTAGGATAGAAAAAGGTTACTGATGTGGAAGCGGTCGAGATAAACAGCCCACTAGGAGCTCTTATCACTAATGCGTTCCCTCTACCACTCCTAATATGCCACAGTTCTCTCAAACTCCTTAATAAAACTTAAGCATAATTTCCGAATAAATTCAAAAAGGTTTAGAACGCAAGATCAACTGTACAAGAAGCAGGATAGAGGGACAGCTCAATCAAGTGGCGTCGCCGCTGATGTGTACCTTCCTGCCACCCACCACCACGTGCACTAACTAGTCAAACCCAATATGGCACTCACTTGCGTTAGTTAATTTTTTAGGACATCAAAAATCAGAAATAAATATAAATACAACTCGAATATTAGACCTCTCTAAGACAATATCGATCACAAATACTTTTTGGGTAAATAGCACGATGTAAAACAATGCAACATATTGTATTTTCATACATAAAAAAGAAGAAGAAAAATATCCTTACAAGGATCACTAACTGTATAACAGTAAGAAAACCATCCGAAAAGGTATAATGTTTGAGGAAGGAAGTACTTGTCTAAATAACTTTTAGGCTCGGACAAGGAAACGAGAACCCTAATTTAAACATTTTAAGTAAATTTGCTTCATATTCGTTTTTATTATTTTTTTATGTCAATACCGACATGAACAAATCTGGAGAGTGGAGGGCGACATAAAGACAAAATGTTTTACAATTCTCAGCAAAAGTAGGTCAAACAGAGGACTGAGGGTCCAAAGGGATATCCACAAAATTTCACGCCTAGTGGATCACTGTAGCTCACGCAATAAAAAGTGAAAGATTGAGCCTGATTATTTGTGGTTATGAGAAAGGGGACTTGTTTAATTCTGCAATTTGGGGATTCTTTACCTGAAAAGCATTCGTGTGCTGATACAGTGGCTTTACCCTAAAATTGGTAAAGTATGAGCTTTACTATGTATGTATGTATGTATGTATGTATGTATGTATGTATGTATGTATGTATGTATATATATATATATATATATATATATATATATATATATATATATATATATATATATATATATATATATATATATATATATATATATAAAGAGAAAATGAATATATGCTTTCGGTTTGATTCAAATATTTCGATCGATTTAAATAAGTGTTAAATTAATTTTTATATATTAGTTTTTTTTAAATTCTTTTTTATCATTTTCTGTATTGCAGTGCTTGAATACCATCTTTTTTCTCGTTTCTATCTATCCTTATCTATATCACATTGATTTAAGGTAGTGTTATAAATTAAAGCTACCCGATACCTTATCACTGTGTGTGCATTGGAACTATATAAAATGCTTTAAAATAATTTTGTAAATGTTAAAATAAAACAAACAAATGCACAAGCAAATATTGTATTGCAAAATGACAGTATCGACGTTGATTAATCAAATACTAGTAGCTTGGGCGTAGGGTGGGCTAATTTTCCTTTAGGTCATTAAATTCGTGGTTCTGGTCAACAACTGAATAACACACACACATACACACACACACTATCTGATACTACACTAGCTAAAGCTGAAACTATACACCGAGAATAATGCTGTACGAGGAATGAAACCCATGTATATTTTCATTTATCAATTACACAGAGTTGTTTTAAAACCCGCACTTTCACAACAATAGAGAATTACATCCGTAAACTTTCTACACGTTGGCCTTAATGTCATTCGAAAAGTGCTCTAAGGGCGCCTAGATTTGCAGTATTTTTTTCTCATCTGTAGCAGAAATGTTTCCCTTGTTCAACATTGCCTCGTTACTGTCATTTACATAAGTTGTTACTTCACATATATTTTTGCCGGTGTCTGTCGTTCGTCATTTCCAGTAGCCGCACATGACTTTACGGAATTTCTTTCGTCTATCGATCAGTATTAAATTTACTCACAGGCTGAAATAAACAAAAATGTTATAACAAATAAATCCGATTTTTTTAATAACCCAGTAAAAATTACAAATAGCATTCTAAGTCACAAATCTTAGACATACTGACAAGGTTGGGCAATATCGAAGCACTTAATATTATTATCATTTTAAATAAATAAATACATCTGGAAAATCTAAAAAAAAACAATTTCAAAAACACCAATGTGATAGCGAAAAGAAATTTTCGATCACCGCACGTTTCACAAAAAAATTATGGAATGATTGTTTCTTTAGAAATATTTTTTATATTTTTGTTGTAGAGATTTTCTAGTAAGGCAAAACTGCAAGTCAATATAAAGTTACTGTACAAATTGACACGTTGATTGAATATAATGAGGAACTTTTTCCTCAATTGTTTGAATATTACTCTCAGTTTCCAACCTTGTAATGACGTTTCGCACTTGACAACAAATCAATTTTTCTCTGCAATGATAAAGTTTCTTTATATTGCTATCATTATAGATTTTAAGGTTTCGGACTTTATGGTATGTCTGACAACCGTCTGGTGATATTAATATTTGGCAATGTTTAGATAAACCTTTTTCACATGTATATGACGTTAATGTGGACGGAAGGAATCTGTTTTCGTTAATGGCTAATTATATTAAAAAATGTTTGATATTGCTGACTTCATTCCTTAAAATAATGACATCTCATGCCAATAGGTTATGGACTTCTTTTTGGGAATTAAAAGCAGAATTCCTAATTGCTGCCAGGATATACCCACATAGCGTCCTCGTTTAAGGTGTATGAGACTTTTCGTGGTCATTAAACCATGTATTTTTACTAAATGACTTCCAGTGACCAGAACAGAAACTATTCCTTAATTCAATCCTCTCCGCGAAGGCGACGTTCAATGAGCGCCAATGATGCAGGCCAACCGGAAACGCTCACGTTGCAGTTAACTTTAACTAATAGGAGTACCTTGATTGTGAAAAGTAGGTTTTCAAGATCAGCAACAAATTGTCATAGTCTAAAAATTAAGCTATGTTTTAATTAACTCCCTTAAACAGATTGTTGTAAAGTTGAACTTAATCATCTATAGCTTCAGTGACATCTGTGATGTGAATATATGAACTGTGAAAACGCATATGCATTCTCTCTCGTGTACATTTATAGAGGTTGTGTCAAAAATGCTTTTCAAATGTTTTCTACTTTATCATATTCTGGTGAAGTATTTGAAACTAGTAAGTAATAAATTGTTAAAATAGCAATGGATTCAATATTGTTACCTATTGGTAACTGAAATACGGTTGTTACTTGTCTAGGCTCGTATAAAAGTAACAAGAAGAGAGTGCAGACAACATGCTTTGTAAAATGTAACAAATAATTTTATTCCATAGAACAACTAGGTAAAAATAGGAACAAAGACTTAAGGTTTACGGATCGACCCAACTTTAATCCAAAAATGTCCTCTCAATAAAAGGTCCTAAGTGAATCACAGTTCTAATCCCGATGAAATTCAAGATGGAAAGCAATAACGTCTTCGATAGTCAGCCTTGTCTTGATTTGTCAACAGTTCTTTGCTGAATCACAAAGAATAATATTCCAGTTTGAATAATTTTCAATAAATGTCTTTGTCCAATCGATTTATTGGCACTTGTATTCCAGGGTAAATAAATTACTAATTCCAAAAAATAAATATTCAACTCAAAGCTGGTCACAGGTCAGAGGTTTAAAGACGAACTGGTTAATTCTTCTGAAGTAAAGGTTATACAGTAAGTTAAAACGCAAAATAGATTCCCGTATGAGGGCCGCGTTGTCACCTTCTAGAACAACGTAGAAATTCGTTACATGATAATTATCACGTCCTCTAGTTATGGCTATGATTCCACTGAATGAATCATACCTATAGAATGAAAAAAAAAATAAAACAGTTGTTTACTAGAACTCTATCTGATTTTTAAATCAAGGTCAGAAACTAGGCATAATGTTTCAACTACTGGTTGCTTATCAGGCCAAAGAAAACTGAATTTCCCTAAAAATATATCAAATCCAGTAGACAAAGTTATCAAAACAATAATATGTAATGGAACAAAATAAAATTAAACAATTTAAAAGTAAAAATAAGTAATTAAATTACATATTCATAACACTATCGTCTAAATACTCCTTTCAATGACCATTAATTACAATTTTCTATTATGATCGTAGGAGGTCATATGACCAAAATGCATAGTGTAATTGCCAAAGGGGCATATACATTTTAAGATAAAATCTGAAACGGAATATTTATTTTTTTTATCTCATCGTTTGGTGCATTTCTTTAGGGTTTACATTCAAAGAACAACCTCGTCGCATATTTATTATCTCGTCCTTTCCCGCGCACTTTTGAAAACATTTTGTCATAAAATATATTGTTTACAGTCTGTTGTAAATGCAGAACACGCAACACATTCAAGAGAAAGTGATAAGCAGTTATTTATCCGCT